AGTGATGCTTGTTAAAAAAAAGAATATGCCAAATACTAGACCCATCCCAAAGAGGAAGAGCTTGTAGGGGAAAGCCACCTGAGCAGTTTTCAGATAGTTGGCAGACAAAATTCATGCCCAGGGAGAGTTAGATCAAATAACCCTGAGATTAGTTCCGTGTCTGAGATTCTTCCATAGATTTTGATCTTTGACTTGAAGCTACCTAGAAGTGGTAAGAGACAGCTTCAGGAGCAACAGAGGAAACCCTCAGGTTGTAGGAAACCATAGGAACCATAGGCAGGCAGGAGACCAACACTACTCCCTCCCAATAATTGATAAATGCTCCCAATCCTGCACACTAAGGAATGAAGATATTCCTTTGATTGCAGACTCAGTGTTAGCAGAGGAAGTCTCCTTACCCAGGGAGAGCAGGTTCTGGGCATTTTCCAACATGACTCCCTTGTACAACTCCTTCTGAGGATGGTCCAAGAGCCCCCACTCCTCATGGGTGAAGTCCACAGCCACATCCTTGAACGTCACCAAACCCTGAATCATTAAAAGTCATAGAATGTAAAGATGAAGGACACTTCAGATTTAAATAGTCCAACCCTCATTAATTTACAGAATGAAACTGAAGCACAGAGAAGGGATTTGCCCAAAGGTCATACCCTTTATGAAAGTCAGAGTCAACTCCTAAAACCATGGTCTTTAAGATCCCAATTGAATTTTGAGAAAAGCATTTTATATGATCGTTTGGAATAAAGCTGAGAAATATTTTCCTTTGAAATGTATTTCTCTGTGGAATCAGGGAGAAAGTTTCTGTTCTATCTGTGAGGTGGTTGGTTCTGTAGAAGAGAATGAGAGAGGGTGATGGGAAATATTTTCCTTATGAGAACCGATAAGTGATATATTCTTTTTTTTAAAAAAAAGTTACTTTTAAAAAATCTCTTATGTGCATATCAATGGTAAAATCTAGAATTTCTTTCCTTTCATAGTTAATGGAGTTATAGGAAGATTTACTTAAATCCAAAGACAAAGACACCAAATAAATTAGAGCACTTATGGATCGGAGGAAAGGGAAGCCCCATATCAAATTCATATTAGATATGCATATACTTAAGTCTAAATACATACGAATTATATGTGAACATATACAATATTCGTATAATAGATCTCATATGTACCAAATTATTTGCATATTATCTCTTCCACAGAATGTGAACTTCTTAGTATTAGGAACTGTGTTTCACCTTTTACAAAAGACATTTTATTTACAATACTGGGAACAAAACAAGCACTTCCATAAGACTACAATGGAAAAAAAAATGATTGCTCATGAAACTGCCAATCTACTATGTACAAGTTGGTATTCCCTTCACATATGCAACAAAGCTACCATGTAAATTTCTTTTCTTTCTTTCCCTGCCACAACCATAGCGACATCTGCCATGTGTATGCATATATATCTATATGTGTGTATATTTATGTACATGCAAATATATAACCATATATATGTGTGTATATACACAAAATTATCCCATACATACTATTTGTCAGTTCTTTCTCTGGATACAGATACCTTCTGTCTTTATATGCCCTTTATTTCTAATTTTGTATTTGTAATAGAATGATTGATTTGATCAAACTCTTCTGAATACAATATTGCTGTTACTGTATGCAACATTGTCTTGGTTCTGCTCACTTTACTCTTCATCTGTTTGTGCAAGGCTTTCAATGCCTTTCTAAGATCATTGAGCTCATCCTTTCTTACAGCACAATACCCTTTCATCGCAACCACACAAAACCCATTCAGCCTTTCCTAAAATGAAGGGGGTCCCTGTAATTTCCATTTCTTTGTCATCACAAAGCAAGTTGCTGTAGATGTCTCAATCACATTCAAAGTGATATAATTACTATCTTTCAATTTTTGTCCATCTTATTTTTACTCATGATTTTCTTTCTTGCCCTCTCTTTTTACCCTATTGCTTTTACTTTTTCTTCACTTCACATCCTCCTACCCCCCAATTCACCCACCATTCTAAGAGTCCTCCCTCCACTTCCCCAATTTCAAACCACAAGGCCTCCAAAATTCTCCCCATCCCCCTAAATCCCACTTCACTCACCCTTCTAAAAAGTACTTCCCTGATCCTCTTCCCCAATTTTCTCACCTCTCTACATATTCAGAAGATTTCTACACCATTTGAGATATACATTTTTTTTCAACCCAGATGAGACTAAGGTTCCAACATTATCAGCCCTCTACCCCTACTCGCTTCCTCTGTATTAGTTCTTTTCACACCCCCTTTTTCCAATATCATTTCTCTTTTGACCTTTCCTACCCAGTTTTGCCTTTTATAATCACCCCATCATACACAACTTAGCCAACACCTTTCTTTCAAACTACCTTAGTAATGATGACAGTTATAAGAATACTGATAACTTTTCATATATAAATAATAAGTAAACAGTTTGATCTTAATGGGGGCCTAATAATCAGTCTTTAATATTTTCCTTATATTTCTTTTGGATCTTTTATTTTCAATTTTCCAATGAATTCTGCTCTTTTTGTTACAAACCTGAAAGTTTTTCAGTTCATCAAATAGCCCCTTTTTTCCCCCTTTCAGGATTATACTTAACTTTGCCAAGTAAGTTATTCTTGGATGCAATCATAGCTCTTTTGTTTGTTGAAATATAATGTCCCCAAACCTTCAGTCTTTTAGAGGGTAATCTGCTAGTTTTTGTGAAGTCCTAACTAGATTTCCACAATATTTGAATTGTTTCTTTTTTCTGGTTGCTTGCACTATATTCTCCTCAACCTGGGAATTTTGAAATGTGGCTATGACATTCATGTATGTTTTCCTCTTAGCTTTACTTTCAGGTAGTGAATGGTGGATTTTTTCTCTTTCTACTTTACCTTGTGGTTCTAGAACTTCAGGTACGTTTCCTTAATTTCTTATTTGTAAGTCACATGTTCTAAAGAAAATTCTGTGAAAAGTCTATGTGAAGCTGGCAGGCGCATAACATTCTGGGGGAAAAAAGCCCATTTAATGTGATCACCTGAAAGAGAACAAAGTTAAAGAAAAAATCTGGTTTGTTTCCTGAGTGGTTGAAATAAAGTCTTATGTGGATGAAAATATGTGAAATCTAGACTGCTGTGACTCAAAAGAGATGGTCTCCAGCCAAGTGAAGGAGAGTTATCTGTTGTTACATTGAGGGCTTGAGGTCACTCTGTCATAGCCAAAACATCTCATGATTTTGCTTTAGAATTGCTTTTATTTGTCTATGTATGACACATATTCCTTAATTATAAAATTCATTACCTAGAAATGAAAGCAATTATGAAGAAGGGTAAGCTAGGTGTTCTAGTAGATAGAGCACTGGACTTGGTATCAGGATGATCTCATGTTCATAAATTCAAGTGTAGCCTTAGAAAGTTACTAGCTGTGTAACCCTGGAAAAGTCACTTAACCCTGCCTGCCACAGTTTCCTCATTTGTAAAATGAGCTTGAGAAGGAAATGGCAAACCCCTCTAGTATCTCAGTCAAGAAGAACTCCTAATGGTTCATAAAGTCTTGAACATGACTGAAATGATTAAACAACAACAATGTTGGAAAGAGGAGTTCCTTCATTGCTTAAAATAGAAGCAATCTTCAATTACCTTGGGTTTTCTTTGAGCTAATTCATCAGAAAAATGTTGCCAGTTTCTTTATGAGAAATAAATGATCTAATTATACATAGAGAACTGTAGAAACAAAATGATTCATTGAGAACCCCGACTCAAACAGCATTAGTCAGTTCATTATGATTTTATAAGAAGTAATGATCGTTAGTAATGATGTTAATATATTCATCTAGTCAATCATCAAATATTAAGTGTAAGAATAAACAATGTATTAATCCATACCTTGTATAAGTCACATATGAATATAAATTCTAATAAAAGGGCCCTATAATAGGCCTCAAACTTCAATTCAATGTTCATTACTTGTTTACTAGCTATGAAGTTCACTTGCATAACTACAAGAATGCTGACAAAGATATCTCTGTTCTGTTTTGCTCAAATTCCATGACCAAACCAAGCATGGGTGGTGGCATGGTATAAAAAGTCCCCCCATATCCTCCTATATGTACTTGGAATGTATGTAGAGATTGTCCCATCTCCTCCTGCTTAAGCTAAGGAGGAGCCCATCCATCTTATAACCACTTCATCAGTGGAGATATTCCCTGCTTCACACAACTCATGACCCTGCTGACAGATCATTTTTGCTTCTTATAGCTTAAGAGTCTTATGTCAACCAATGGGATTCTATATTTTGCATAGCTGAATTTAAAACCTACTGAATAGTTCATAGACAACCCAAGGATCACAGGTCTCCCAGTACAAAATGACTGGGCAAAAAAAAATTGAAACAACCATGGAGGAAATATTCAAAGAGAATTGGCCAGAACTTCTGAACATAGAAAATGACATTCCAATTTTCAAAGAATTCAGAAATCACTTCCAGAAAAAAACCCATTGGATGCCTTCTAGAAGGCGGCAGTATAGGTCAGAAATTTCCAGGCTCTCTGGATTTCCTCCACAAACAGAAAATCACCACAAAATGAATATAGAAAAGCAAAAATAAAGGCAAAAAGCAGTTGGAGGGCAACTTGAGAGCACCTCATTGAAGACCCCAGGGGCTGAGTGAAGAGTAGACACCACCAGGCTGACTCCCCTGAATTAACAAACAGTAGTCCTAGGAGACTAGGCCTCAATTTCACCTCTGGAAATTTTACATCACAAACTTCCATCTGAGGAAGAGCAGACAGTGAGGGAAGCTAGAAAGACCCACTGATGTTTCCAGAAGTCAAGCCTAGCAGTGCTGAGCAGACATGACCTTGAGCAGTGGCTGTGGGTGAGAGGAGCTAGAAGAAGCCCAGTGAGTGTGGTACCACAGGGAGCAAGAACATTTTCAGGACAGTGTGACTGGGGCTTAGGGGAGCAAGAGAGGAGGTCCTAAGGTGGAGCCCCCAGAGAGAATTCAGAAAACAAGAGTAAGGAGGACCTGAGGCTTAGAGTAACATTACCCATCAGATTTGGATTAAAACTTGATTGTGATACTAAAGCTGCTAAAAGTAAAATGAGACAAATTTAAAACAAAAAATGAGTAAGCAAAGGAAAAGAACCCAACCACTGATAACTACTTTGGTATGAAAGAAGATCTGGGTCATATTCAGAAGGAAATAGTGAGATTACAAAAGCCACTCCTATCCTGAAGAGTAAAGTCAATTGGACACAAACTCAAAAAGAAATCTTAGAAGAACTTAAAAGGAGTTAAAAGACAATGAGGAAAAATTAGAAGAAAAAGAAAGTGAAAAAATTATGAAAAGAAAGGAAACCATTTGGGAAGAGAGATACAAAACCATAAGGAAGAAAATTTTATTGTAATGTGTTATGGACATGACATGCTTATTTTCTTCCAAAAATTGAAATTTAATAATGATTAAAAATAATGCAAGACTAATGCAAACCCACTAGAAATGGAGAGGAAATGGAATGTGTTCCAGAGCATGCTGGAGTACAAGATGTAGCCCAGCATGACCTATCCTAAAGATGTGAGCTTAACAATATGGGACAAAAAGTGGATATTCAATAATGAAGAGGAGTCTGAAACATTTTTAGAAAGAAAACCAGAAAGAAGATTATTTGCTTATAGAACAACCCAAACTGAACAAATACAGGAGCAGTGAACAAATGTAGACAACAGCAGTAGCAGAGTAACAACAGGCAGACCAATAAGAGATTTCTTTCTCAAAGTACACAAGCAGACAGGGATGAAGGAGGAAATCTGGTGGAGGTACCAGTGTAGAGGATGACAGGGGGGATTATGGACAGAATCTTCTGACATCCTGCCTGTAGCAGTGTTGAGGGCTGATCTTAAGAGTCTGATAAGGGTTTAAGATCCAAGGCAGAGTTTGACCTCTGCCCAGGCTTTTACCCGTAAGGGCTCCATGATTAAGTGGTACGGCTCTTCAATCCCTTCCTGATTAGGAGGCCCCTGAGACATTCCTTCTCACTCTTTGAACCTTAGATTTACACATTCACTCCTCTATGCAGGTGGCACCAAGGCACCTGGGAAAACCTTGGAAAATGCAACCCAATCTAGGAACCCTGATAACGAGGAAATTCATGTTGTCACATCCTCAGCAGATGTTCTGGGAGTATCTCATGGGGAGGACTCTTTGAAGTTAGGCTAGATTTTCTCTATATATACTGTACCCTCAGATGAATAAACTGAGTCAGTAATTCTGCTCCGCCTGGCCCATGTCACTAGTTATTACACGCCTCTCCATTCGGTGTACAATCTGGTTGCTGGCAACACAGCAGAAGGTCCTTTTGTGGCACTACATTACACCAAGGGAAGATGCATGAAAGGGAGGAGGAGAAGACTGGACAGGAAGAAGAGAGTGATATGACAAGGTCTCATCAAAGACCAGAAATTGTCAATTCAATTCCATATACATTTACATTGTGCTAGGCACAATGCTAAGAACTGAGGACACAAAAAGGGGTAAAAGACAGTCCCTGCCTCAAGTAGGTCACCATTTAATAGGTGAGACATCAAGCAAACAAATATATACAAAGCAAGTTAAGTCCAGAACAAATAGAACATAATTAGAAGAGAGAAGGAATAAGAATGAAGAGGGGTTAGGAAATACTCCCTTAGCTTTTTAGTTGTTGATTGGAATTTAAAGGAAGACAGTGAGGTTAGTAGTCTGAGCTGGGGTATTCCAGGCATGAGGACAGCCACTGAAAATGCCTAGAGCTGAGAGAAGACAGGAGGCCAGATCCATTGGATTAAAGGATAAATGTTTGGGAGTAAGCTGTAAGAAGACTAGAAAGGTTATTGGGAGCAGGGGGAAGGAAGTAGGTTGAAAATGGCTTTGAATGCCAACAAGAGCATTTCCTATTTGATCTTGGAGGCAACAAATAGGGAGTCAGTGGAATTTATTGAGTAGTGCAGTGACTTAATCAGAATTGCATTGTAGGAAATGATTAGTGGCTGAATGGGGAATGGCTTGGAGTGGGGAGAGCCTTGAGGGAGGCAGACCCACCAGTAGGCTATATTAGTAGACCAGGCATGAGGAGATGGGGCCATGCACTAGAATGGTGGTAGTGTCAGAGGAGAGAAGGGGGTATATTCTAAAGATGGTGCAAAGGTGAAACTGACAGGCCTTTGCACCTTAATGGATATGTGGGGAAACAGAAGGCCAGGATGACTCTGACAGAAATTGTTAATATAATGACATAAATTACTAATACAACATGTAATGTGGATTTCCACTCCCTTAAACAATCCTTGTAAGGTCAGCTTTCAGTAATGTCCTAACCTTCATACTCTTAAAAAATTTACTTTTGATTAGGTTGAACTGAACCACACATTAAGATCTCCCCACCCTCCCACCCCTACCCAGGGAAGTTGCCTTGTGGGGAGCCCAGCTCAAGAGCTCAGCTTCTAGTGTCTTTGCCCTCTGACATTGGGATTCAAGGTATGAAGGGCAGAGCAGCTGGAATGAGGTGGCTTTCCTTGCCTGGATTGCTAAGGGCCACTGGGGTCTCATGACCAGGCTTGCTACTTCATACTGCCTCCTCCCTCTGTTCTCCTAAAACTATAAAAACTTTTTCATGGGTCTCTTTGATTGGGAAATACATTGGACATCCTCTAGGCTGGTAGGTTGCTTCATTCCTCAATTCATACCTTTGATTTATTTCAGGACTTCAAAACTCCTAGATGGGAATGGGAAGATAGTATACACACCCCTCCTTAGCTCATACCACCTTGGCAGAACTGAAAACTTACAGTGAGCCCTCCACCCTGAAAGCAGAGCATCACTTCAGTGAAAAGTTAAAAGTCAAGGAATAGGGAGGAAAAATGAATAAATAACAGAAAAAATTATGACTATAGAAAGTTACTGTGGTGACAAAGAAGATCAATGCACACTCAGAGGAACACAACAAAGTCAAAACTCCTACATCCAAAGTCTCAAAGACAAATCTGGACTGGTCTCAGGCCATGGAAGAGCTGAAAAGGGATTTTAAAAATCAATCAAGAGATGTAGAGGAAAAATTGGGAAAGGAAGGAGAGTGATACAAGACAATCATAAAAAACAAGTCAAAAGTTTGGTAAAGGAGGTACACAAAAATCCTGAAGAAAAGAACTTCCTAAAATGTGGAATTTACCAAACAGAAAAGGAGGTACAAAAGGTCTCTGAGGAAAATAATTCCTTAAAAATCAGAATTGAGCAAGTGGAAGCTATTGGTACTATGAAACATCAAGAAACAATCAAACAAAGTGGGGGGAAAAAAAGAAAAACAGAAGGCAATGTGAAATACCTTTCCAATGGCTCTCTTCCATGATTGGAAAGTTCTCTATCCTGACCCTAACCCTAAACAAAAATGCCTGGTCTGGGTTTCCTTCAAGTCTCAGCTAAAATTTCACTTTCTGAAAAAATTATTGTTCTGGTCCCCAAAACTATTAGAACCTTCCCTTTCAGACTTAATGCCATTTTATACCCTACAGAGCTTGTTTGGACAAAGCAGGTGACTTGTTGGGGCAGTTCAGTGGCACTTTGGATAGAGTGCTGGTCAGGGACTGAGGAAGACCTGAGCTCCAATATTGCCTCAGACACTAGCTGAGTGACCCTGGGTAAGTCAGACTTAACCCTGTTTGCCTCAGTTTCCTCATCTGTAAAATGAATTGGAGAAGGAAATGGCAACTACTCCAGTGTAGTTACCAAAAAAAAAACTCCATATGGGTCACAAAGAGTCAAATGGAACTAAAATGAATGAACAACAAGGTGACATGTTGTCTCTCTCATTAGACTATGAACTCCTTGAGGGCAGGCACTGTTTTTTCCTTCTTCTGTGTCCAGGGAAGTTTTGAACAGGGCCTGGCATAAAATGGCTTTTTGGGGCCCCTAGAGTTCCCAGCTGTATGACCCTGGGAAAGTCACTTAACCTTATTTCCCTCAGTGTGCTCCTCTATAAAATGAGCTAAAGAAAGAAATAGCAACAGGGATCTCTTCCAAAAACAACCCAAATGGAATCATGAAGATTCAAAGAGTCAGACAGAACTAAAAAAAACCCCAACAACAATAACAAATGTTTACTGATTGGACCCAACAAAGGATAAAGGGGAAGGATTCAGGGAGACCTGGGAAACTTGCCTGACCCATTCTAACGAGGGAGAACTTCAGAACAAACAAGGGAAGGAGGAGTCTGTGCTCCATATGCCAGAGTGTCAGTGAACTAGTTTAACACAGAGAAGCAGAGAGCAGGGCAGTGTTGTTACTGCCTTATTCAATTTCATGCCTATTTTTGGAGAGAAATGGTCCATAAGGAAGGTATTCCCAACTTCATAGACCATCCTCCATGTCTAACCCTAACCCTAGTCAGAAGACTGCACTCACCTGGGGTGGGGGGCTGTGGCTCCCAGGGGCCATTCCCTCTGGCTCCAGGCTCCCTGCTTTGGGCCTGGCCTTGGTGCTTGGCAGATTGAGCTGGGCAGGGAGGAGAAGAATCCCTATGGGGTAGGTCTTTCTCTTCTCTTCCTAGGCAGGAGGCTGGCCTGCAGGGCTTTCCAGAGAGTGAAGTCCCAGAGGAGTTACAAAAGCCAATGCCTTGCCCTCAGGGGAGAAATTCCAACCTACCGGGGGAAGAGGAAGCAGGGAGGGTCCAGCTTTAAAATGTAGATGGCCTGAACAGGAAGACTACTTCCCTCCCTCTCTTACTCCTTCTCTTCTGCCCCTTCCCCTCTCCGTTCTCCCATAGAGATCCAAAAGCCTGAGGGGGCTTGGGATCCCAGATGGGATGAGGTCAGAGCCTCAGTGGCTCTTAAGTTAGAGCTCTCCCTCCAACTGGCCCTCTGCCCTCCCTGAATTCCCTCTGTCTGACTCACACATTATGTAGATAAGAAACTGACTCCTTAAAAAAAAATAAATTTAAAAAATTTAAAAAAAGAAAGAAAGAAACGGACTCCTTGATCTAGGAGAGAAGCTAAGCAAGGTTGAGGATTGGGAAGGCTCTTGAATGGAGATACCAAGGAATGACTGGGGAAGCCTGAGACTAGGACACAAAATCCAGTCTGGAATTCAGCCCCCTGGCATGGCACCTGAGGCAGGGAAGCCTGAAGCCTGGGTAAGGGGGGAAGGACTATGGTCTGGGAGGCAAGACATTCTAACATAGCTCATGGCAGGGAGGTGGGGAACACTGGACTGATAGAAGGGCTCCAGATGCACACTGAACCTGGGGAAGCAGGATGACTGTGTCCTGAGGTCTAACTAGGAGCCAAGGAGGACTGTTGAGATTTTCTGGTAGAGCTTAGGCTTGGAATCCCTAAAGGGAAACTGGAGACAGGGAGCCAGTGCCTGGGATCTGATAGGGAACCAGCCCCAGAGCCATGGGTGCAGAGAAGAAAGATCAGAAAAGAGTTTTGGAAACTGAGTCCAAGGTGGCATCCTGGGGGGAGTAAGGGAGGATTTCTGGATCTTCAAAGGAGGCAGGATCTGAAGGCAAGACAACAGAATTTCTAACCAAGAACTTAAGAGATTAGTGGATCTGGATAGGAAGGCTGAAATCAGGATTCCCACAATCCTACAGGCAAAGTCTGAAGTCTGAAAAAGTGTTATCCAATGGTAACTGTGGGGAAGGTGAGCCAGGAATTTAGGAAGTTACTGGGAATCTGGAGAAGGTTTAGGGGCAGGGAGCTCATTCAATAGCCAGGCTTGGGAGGAAGGTGTGCTACTGGCCAATTTTTAATACACTCACCAAGAGGTCAGATGAGAATGAGACCCAATGGCAAGATCAGCCAGAAGAAGCCTGGAAATATGGGGTGGAGGGTGGGGAACTCTGCTTTAGACCTACCTGGGACCTGCAAGCACAGAGCTGGCATCCAAAAGGCAGAGCAATGAGCTCCGGAGAAGGCAGAGAGATCTCAGATTACTAGGAAGAAAGGAAAAAGATTTGAGATGCCAGAAAGCAGAGCAGTCCAGGCTCAAAGACTTCCTCCTTCTGGCCAGCCCACTATGGGAGGGTCTTCCTATTCCCAAGAGTGCCACCTTGTCCAGCCCCTGAAGGCCCCTGGATGGCTGGGCCCTTTCCACCAATCACACCCAGGGCTAGGACTCAGAGACCCTGATTGCTCTCCTCCCTAAGCCCTGCCCTCCATCACATGGAATGCCTTCTCCAGTGCAGTGATGCCTTTTGCAGTCCTAAACTCCTCCCAGGCCTCCAAACTCCACCCCAGGGCTCAAATTCCAGCTGGGCCACTACCCATGAGGCTGCTGATCTCTGTGGGCTCCTCCTCTCCAGTGTCTCCACCCTTTCCTCCCTCCCTTCCAGACTCCCTCCCTCTTCCTGAGTGGAAAGACTGCCAGGATAAAACTGCAGCACCAGAGTAACTGAAAGTAATACTCCAAGCTACAGAGGGAGTGAGGAAGCAGGTAGGGTCAGGCTTGGATACGAAGATGGTCTGAAAGGGGAGACTACTTCCCTCCCTCTCTTACTCTTCTAACTCCTCTCCTCATCCTTCTATAGAGTCCCAAGAGGTACAGGGGACTTTGGGATCCCAGATGGGATGAGAGCACTCAGAGCCTCAGTGTCCCCAGAATCAGAGTTGCCCCTCCAGCTGGTACTCTGCCCTTCTTGTATTGAGAACCAAGGAGGAACAACAGTCTATGAGTAGTAGTAGCTGCCCCACTGGGGACCAAGTGGCCAGTTCCAGTTGGGCAATGCTGCTATTAACTTCCTTCCTTCCTTCCTTCCTTCCTTCCTTCCTTCCTTCCTTCCTTCCTTCCTTCCTCCTTCCTTCCTTCCTTCCTTCCTTCCTTCCTCCCTTTCTCCTCCCTCATAGGGAGTCATAGCCTTAAGTGTGAGTGTTCTATCCAAAGGAATATTAATGTTGATTGCTTAAACCTCCCAAAATATCTTGAATTTGGGGGCTACATTTTTTTTTTTTGGTGAGGGTAATTGGGGGTAAGTAACTTGCCCAGGGTCACACAGCTAGTGAGTGTTATGTGCCTGAGGCCGGATTTGAACTCTGGTCCTCCTGACTCCAGGGCCGGTGTTCTATCCACTGTGCCACCTAGCTGTCCCTGGGGCTACATTTATTCCTTCTCTACTCATTTATTCTATCATTTTTTAAAAAATTGGCACAATGAACTGTCATCTTCATTCATGATTTCTTAAAATATAGCTCTGCAGCTCAACACCCCTTGCCAGCAAGAAGCAGTTTCAGAAACTAAGACCCTCATCACTTACCCCAAAGTAATTTGGGTCTCATTTGTTTGAGGGGGAATAATGGGGAAGGGATCTGAACTCCTAAAAGGAAAAGGCCATATCTTTGGGATCTGGATGCTAGAAAGGAAAAATCCTGGACTTTCCCACTTGGCCAAATCTCTGCAGTTCACCTGGGGCTATAATCCTATCAAGTGGCCTTTCATTCAGGCTCAGAAATGAAATGCCATGCTCTCCTCATCAACTCTTACACATTCACAATTGTGATGCCCATCTTTAATCTGTTGCAAAGTCCTGTTGATTCCACCTTGGTGACATCTTTCACATATATCTCTTTGTCTCTCAGTGCTGTCCCTTTCTTGGTGCACACCCTTGTCCCCCACACCTGAGATAATGTCAGAGCCTGCTGGTTGGTCCAGCTGCCTATCTCCCCCCAGTCCAGTTCTTCCTCCACCCAGGTATATAGTTCATCTTCCTAAAACTCTCACCTGACCATGTCCCCACCTTCTCCACAACCTCCCCAGGTAAAGTATCAAATACTAAACCCTCTCTAGGGCAGGTAAAGCACTTCATCACCTCCCCCTTTCTACTCTTCCAGTCTTCTTTCACCCTTCCACCTTCCCATATATGTTATAATTCATTGGTCTGGGCCTCCTTTCTGTCCCAGGGACAGGATGTTCCACCTCTAGACCTCATGGTTTTCCTTGCCATCCCTGTTGCCTAGAATGCTCTCCATGGCTTCGCTGAAGCCCCAGCTACAACCCACTTCTCACAATAAGCCTTTCTCAGCGCTCCTTAAACTTAGAGCCTTCCCTCTTGTGACTAGCTCCTCTTTATCCTGTCCACAGTGGGTTTCTACATAGCTGTTGGAGTGTTCTCTGCCCCACCACACTGTGAGCTCCGTTAGGGCAGGGGATGTTCCTTGCATCAATTTGTGTGCTTGGTCCTGTGCACAAGGTCTGGAACAGGGTAGGCACTTGGATGTTTGTTGACTTGAAGAAAGTCTAGGAATGAAATCATGTAGGATACCCTAATCCTTTTTTGTACTTTCAGAAGAATTCCATGCCCCCAAATTCCAAACAATGACTTCTTTTAGGATCATGGATTTATCCCTGGAAGGGAGCTGAAAGGCCATGGAGTCCAAACCCCTCATTTTATAGGTAGAGAAACTGAGGTTCAGTGATTCAGTGACTGACAAAGAAAGCCACTACTGAGAAATATCTGAAAAAGATGTCCGAGTCAGTGGTGTTTGCCTTTTGAAATTGATCTCTGCTTGTGGGGCACAGGAGGCACTGTCCCACACTTCGTGTGCTGGGGGCTAGGGGTCTGGTTACTGGCTTTGTGTGCTAGTGCCTCAGGTGCCGGCAGTTGGAGGCTGTAGGGATGTAGTAGCTTAGCTGGTGCTGAGCTGGAGCTGGTGGTGTTTGCTGGTGTGTGCCTAGCCCAGGTGGGGGTTTTCTGCATTTCCCTGGGATTACACTGAAGCTTGCAGGGTGGGTGTGGGATGGGGTAGGGGGTGGTCTGGCCACTGGTGGTTGCCTCCTTTCCCTGGGCTGTGCTAGAGCATGGGTAGGTTCACCTGCTGGTGAATGCCTGCCAGTGCATATGGTGGTTCTCTGTGCTGGCATCTGTCAGTTCCCCTGGCTGTGCCAAGGCACTTGGCAATCCTGGTATTGGCACTTGCCTGCTCCACCACCCTAGGGCTGAGGATCTCCCATTGGTTTGCTGAGGTGAGGCTTGCCACAAGCTTAATGGGATGCCTCCCATCCTGTACTGGTCTCCTTCAGTCACAGCAAAAGGGATCTTTCTGGTTAATCCCCCTAGCTTCACAAGCTAAAAGACTGCTGTATCCCATCTTTCTGCTGGCTCCACTACTCCAGGATTTTTTCTGGGGTGGTATTTTCTGGGTTTTTCAAGGTCAGTAAGGGAAGGTGAGAGTTACTTCCTGCTTACTCTGCCATCTTGGCTCCCAAAAGTCAACAAAGCAATTTTTAATCTGTATTTTATTGCATGTGAATTGAGTTTTTAAATGGATATGATAAAATTAGATAATTTGAAAACTGTTAAATATTTAGTGAAGTATATTTAGTTCTAAACAGAGAATAATATTATTTACTATAGCAAATTTTCATTTTAAAATCTTGGCTATTATGAAAGTATGTAAGGTGGTTTAAAGACGTAGCTTCAACATAGTAATGATGATATGAATGATTTTCTGTGCAAGGTAATTTGGAAGTGCATTTACCTAAACTGATATTTGGTTTGTTTCAAATTTTAAATATGTAATATTGCTTAGATGCAGGAGTGGGGAACCTGTGGCCTCAAGGCCACATGTAACCCTCTAGGTCCTCGAGTGCAGCCTTTTGACTGAGTCCAAGTTTTACAGAACAAATCCTTTGTGTGATTTGGGAAACAACTGTATCAGTTATGTTTTTAGGAAAGTAATTCCTCTTATAGTCTATATGTTAAGAATTGTACCTAAAAAGGAGGGAGGGAGAATAAATGAGTTAGGAAGCTGTTAAGCAATTCTGTCAGCCCTGCTAACCATGTGCTGTAATATTCTAAAGTACTGTAATTTAATACCAATTCCTAAGTTTTGTCTATATTTAAGAGGAAGTTTCACCTGAAGTTCTTAACAATGTGTGCAAGTTTTCCGTGTTGTGTAATCCCTCTGAGTAAATGGGAATCCTTGCCCAAAACAAGGGTATAATCTTCAAGTCTGCTTCATATACAAATATATATATATATATATATATATATATATATGTGTATATATATATATGTATGGATGTATGTATGTGTATATGTATATTGTATGTTAATCTGGAGGTTTATAAACTATCGTATTCACTATCTTTGTGACATTCCAGAATATCATTATTTTCTTAATTTCTAGGAATATATTTAAAGACAAAGGGAGTGGGGCAGCTAGATGGTGCAGTGAATAGAGCCCTGGCCCTGGATTCAGGAGGACCTGAGTTCAAATCTGGCCTGAGACACATAATACTTACTAGCTGTGTGACCCTGGGCAAGTCACTTAACCCCATTGCCTACCTTCCCCTCCCCAAAGAAAAAGACAAAGGGAGGAAAAGATAATAAATAAATTTTAAAGTTGTGGTGAACTTTGTTATTAGGATAAAACTAATTTAATTGGGTATGTTCTTCTTGGCTTATAAAAACTGAACTCCTCCCCATTACAAACACCTTTTTGACTAGAGGGAGGTAGTAAATAGGAATTTTGTGGCAACTAGGAATTTAGTTTGTTATAGCACTTCAGGGATTTATTTATGTTACTTAAAGACATTCTACCCCAACTCATTTTGATAAATTCCCATTTTAAAGATTTATTTTTGCTTTAAGGTTGCAAAGAGAGATATCAGTCATTTTAGAGGTTTCCAAGTAATTTACTTCATAAAAGTTTAATGATTGTATTTTTTTTAACATCAAGATAAGTTTTAAGCTGTTTTTAAGAAAGGGACTTTTACGAAGAAATGTTTTAAAAAATTGTGTGATTTTTACTAAATTTCACTTGGAAGCTAATATATTGCTAAATTACTGTAGTGTGCTGTAAATGGGAGAGATCTTGCTGTTTTGATCTGAAATTTGTAGTCATTCTATGGCCTAAGCAGCAGTTAAATTAGTGTTTGAACTTGTAATATGTATGGGATTCAATTCCCAAAATATCTCATTCTTTCAGAATAAGTATAATTAGAGAAGGATAAACAAACTTGTGAAACAAAGATGTAAATCTATTAAATTGTGAGGTTAAAGTCAAGAACCTCTTTTGTATTTGTTTTAAGAAATAGGATTTCAGCGCAGTCATGTTAGTAAAGAGTAGTAACTAACGAGCTATCTTGTGTTATCCTGATGGGAAATCTGATTTCACTTATGTTTGTGATTTATGTTGGAATTAGAACATGTGTAGAAATGTGTGCAAACTACTTTGGACTCACTTTAAAGATGTCCCCATTGTTTAAAAGGATTCTGAGAACAGTAGTGTTTTGGGGTTTTTTTGCATGTGATAAATCTGTGACTGTTACCAATGTGAGATTATAGTGAATATTTACTGTCTAAGACATGTGACCACCTGAAGCTCTGCTTATTGGAACTTGCTATTCAAGACTTTATGGGACTGTAATTTACGACTGTTTTGAGCTTTGATTGGAGATAACTTTCTGAATTGTCATAAAGCCAATAGTAGAAAACAGCATGTGCTACAGCCTGAAAACCAAAAAGTAGATATCTGAACCTGGGAAAACTTTTCAGGATGACCTGGCATGACCTACATAGGAGCCGCCTGACTCATTTCCCCATTGTGCTATTTCCTATCTGAAAAGAAAAATTCCCTACCTGGTCAATTCTGAGCCCTGCTTTAGATACTTGGTTGGTTGCCAGATAGGACTCATGCCTGGAATCAAATAGAGCTAAGGAAGTTTTCCCCTTCTGTTATGACATACGACATTGTTATAGCCATGTTCCTTTCTCCTTTCATAAGAAATTCTATAATCAAGAAGTTTTTTAAGTACTATACTAAATCTATTGAATAATGGATACTGGAACATCTCTGCATTACCATAATAGGATGCCAAGTTATGAATATCTCACAATTTTAACCTATATTTGTGGTCAAATAATAATATAGGGATGATATCCTCTGAAGGGGAAATGATTATTCAAAGTACTATGAGAAACCTGTAAGGTGATAGTTTTTTTCCTAATTAAATGGAATAGTAAATTTTGAGAAAAGCAACAAGATTAGATTTTTTCCCCAAAAAAATTATATATGGATATACCTTATTGGCTTCCAAAGCTTATCTATCATGGAAATTCAGACTGAGTATGTTTTGGTAATAAGTTCTTAAAGTTGGATTTTATACACAAATTGTATGGATAAAGGTGAAGAAAGTGAAATTATTTTTCCACTATTAAAGCATCTGTCTGATAATTTTAAAAGGCAGAAGAGCTCATTTTATAATTGGACCCTCAAGTTTTTAAAAGATTCTTATATCAGGTTCAGGATTTAGGTAAGGATAGAAACAGCAAACTGAAATCCTCTGAAGTTTCAAGATTGGAGAACCAAATTTAAGTGATTGTACTAAATTGTACTAACTCAGAATTAACTAGGAACTTCTAGATTTGGAACCAGAGAAGCAGAACCCTGTACTAGAGCTGTCCTGAGAATAAAACCTATTGTCCAAGAAAAGATATCTGGGGACCAGATAACTACATGAGACAACTGGGATTCAAAAGGTGCTACTTAAATGGACATTGAGAATGGGTTACTGGGGTACAAGGTGACTTGATTTTAGGTAACATTAGTATTAACGATTGTATTGCTTTGCATGGTTTACATCTGCTTTCTTGGTTACCTTGATGGCATGTAAATCTCCATTCTCAAAACTAGTTCATTGTGAGCCCTCTGAAGACCCTGATCAATAACAGACTTAATCTAATCATGCACTTTTAGGAATTGTGAGAAAAACTTTATTGCATTGTTTGAACCTAGCCCTGTGTGGCTGGAAAACTGGACCATCTCTATGTGCCTTTAACCAAGGACCTACATTATGGTGTTTTCTCTCAATTGTCAACCCATATGTCTTCTAAGGGCCCCTTATCAAGTCCTTCTGACCATGCCTAGAGCTGCCAAACTTGTGGGAATAGACTCCTAAACCTGTCACACCTAAAACCTTTCCACTGAGTGGACATCTAAGCCCACAGGAGACCTTGCTCTTCAGCTCTGTAGGAGCCTGAAGGAGACAACATCTGATGTCTTTCCCAAGAGTCCTGACTGGGTCTGTGAGAAAAAGGGCTCCCCCCCCCCACTTGAGCTCTGTGTATGCCTAAAGCTGTTTGCCGATATCTTTTGGGAACTCTAGCTTTTGTTTTTTGCTTGCTTTATGCCTCTCACCTTGGCACTCCTTTTTCAGACTGCTCCTGCCTGTTTGCAAACTAATCCCTGATGAAGAGTAAGGTTTTCCCCATACCTTCCTTGCTCTGCAGGTGGTGCCATTGGCTGCCCTTTGACCAAAAGCATGGAAATATGAAAGCTGCTCGAAGCAGCTCATACATTTTGGCTCACCCAAAGTAGGTGATGACCTCTTATTGAATTCCAAATCCTCCTTGCTGTGCTAGTATCCACAAGACTAGATGGAGTTGACCAGGAGCATTCTCAAGTTTATGACTGATATGTACCAGGTACCTTGAACCAGACACTGTCTAACTGAAATCAGTGGGCTCTATAACTTAAGGTGCTGATAGCAAATGGCCCTTAGGCAAATGGAGATTCTGTATGGTACCATTTATAACTTTAAATCCTAAACCGAAATGTCATATAAGATTACAGGCTCCTCTAAGGTGAGACTATGAGCAGCTAATTGGTGCCAAAGTGCATAGAACACTGGGCTTGGAATCAGAAAGACTCAACTTAATCAGCTCAAATCCAGCCACAGATACTAAGTGTATGAACCTGGCCACGTCACTTAACCCTGTTTGCCTCAGTTTCTTCATCTCCAAAATGAACTGGAGAAGGAAATAATCCATTCCAGCATCTTTGCCAAGAACTCTACTCCTACCAAAATGGGGTCACAAAGAGTCAGATATGACTGAAATGACTGAACAACAAATCAGCCAGGACTGTCATGATGGCCTCAAGGCAATCAGGTCTATTTTGATGACAATGGTTTCCATGCTTAGATACCATAAGCTAAAGCCTTCCTTCAGGAGAGATTGCATTAGTGGTGTCTGGACCACGATTGTCACAGGGAAAATCAAGTCAACTGAAGTACAAAGATCTGAGCACTAGCAGTTTATTTGTCAACATGAATTTACTGAAAAAGAGGGCCAATGGCTTCCCCATTGAGCTCAAAGTCCTGGGCCAGAGGCAGTTTTGTCCACCACTAGGTTTTTTGAACTTGACCTTTATGTTTTCAAGAGGTGCCAGGGGTACATTTTTTGCACGGAATTCTAAAGATGTTTAAAAAACAAACAGACCATACACTTTTCACAAAAGTAGTCCTTTGTCATTATCTTATTTTCTCATGTGTTTAGACATTTTCGTATGTTAATTTATGAATGATTTTGTTTTTCAGTAAAAAATACATATTCAAGAAAAAATAAAACAAAGAACAGAAGTTGATAGGTGGAGAAAACAATATAAATGGTTAAAGAACTGACAGCATCATGGAGGCAGGGACAATGTGATTGGCTGAAAGTCTGAAATGTGGGCTGGAAACAGCCCCTCTTTTCACCTTGAAAATATTGATACTTTCCACCTGGATCTTGCAGAAATAACTAATGATAGATAACAAATTTCCTCTAATTGTACAAAAACACCTAGAAACAATATTTCCAGGAATGCCATCATCCTGGCTGATAGACTGACAGATTTTAGGATCCCAAAGTTGTGGTTACATGACTGAGGAATCGATTTATAAACTAATTTCTATTCCAGTTTGATGGCACCTTTGGCAGCTACCTCCAGAAATAAGTATGGAGCAACAAGGGAGTTATTTCTATCTATCTATGATAAACTGGAGATAATCAAAAAGAGGCACTGACAAGTTGGAACACATCCAAAGAAGGGCTGTGAATATGATGGACTAGAGACCATGCCAAATGAGTCGAAAGAACTGAGGCAGCTTATCCAGAAGAAGAGAAAACTTGGCAGGCAACACAAAATACTCATCAAATACCTGAAAGGCTGTCACATCTAAGACCAATCACATTTGTTCTGCTTGAGCCCAGAGGGAAGACCCAGGACCGATGAGTGTAAGCTGCAGGAGGCAGAGTCAGCCTGATGGGATGAACAGTGTCCTAATAATGGGCTGCCTTCCTAGCAGGTCTTCAAGGAGAAAGGTTTAAAAAGGCCTCTGCAGGCATGAGTTTGGACTGGATGGCCTCTGAGGGCCCTTCCAACTCAAGATTCTCTGATAAATTCAGTGACAAGGGAACAAGACGCTGGCTTGGGTCCTCATTAGACTCCAGATGAATTTCATCAGAAACCTTTCTTCCTATCAGTGTTTGCCTTTTCTGACTTGCCTTGGTGGGAGGATATGGAGACTTTCTATAGTGCCTCTTGAATTGCTTCCCTATGTCCAACCTGTTGGTCTCTGAACTGGAAACCATTACTCTGATGAGGGTGCTATCATCAGGAACTGAGCCTTTCACTCATTCATAGACAGCATGTGACAAGTAGCCCAAATGCCTCTGACATGGAACTCAGTTCCTTCAGATTTCCCTTCCAACTGAGGGAAGCTTTGTAGATAGAAATTGCCAGGCCTCTTACCTGTTTAGCAGTGGCTGCTTTGTTCACACAATGGTTCTGTTCTTAAGTCCATCACAAAAATCAGGAGGCAGAAACTATCTCAACTTAATGAGAATTTTCTTAACTGTCACATGTAGTGGCCTGGATGTAAGATGAATAAGTGCATATAGGTGGCCTGTGGGAGACCACAAAATTACCCTAAATTGCCCCAATTTTTATATCCTTGATCAAACAAATCCGATTTCTTCCCTTCACCAAAGATTGTTTCCCAGTCAACACAGTATTGACACAAAGGCTTTTCCTCATTCTGAAGACATTCTATTTCTGAGAACAACCAGATGGATTCTCAGACAGTTCTGCGGTTTATGGGCCTATTGCCTCCTTTTTTTGGTTTTGCAACCAGGAGGGTGGGCATGGATTATTTTCCTTATCTTACCTTCCTATTATAGTCAGACCCCAAATTTAACCTTCACTAGTTACCTTCATGTTCTAGAGAAAGGCATGTTCCACTGAGCACATTCATAAAGTTTCTTTTCATTACAAATCCCCTGATGAGAGGATAAGAGATGATCTCTGGCTAAAAGCCTTCCCATATGAAGTCCATAGATGGCTTGTACCTAGAGTGAATTTTCTGCTAAGAAGCTCTGTACTCCATTTCAATGCCTTTACTCATTCAGGTCAGTTATAAGATTCCTTTATTTCCTATGGATTCTCTGATGGTAAACAAGGACTGTCTTTAGCCTGAAGGCATTACCACATTGATTATTTTCTTAAGGTTTCTTGCCAATGTATGTACTCTGATATCAGGTAAGATGATCCCTTGGTGTAAAAGCCTTACCTCATTGGTTACATTCAAAAGGTTTCTTTCCAGTGTGGATTTTCCTGTGTTCAGCAAATTTGGACCTAGATCTGAGAGACTTTAAACACTGATTACAGTCATAAAGGTTTGCTCTAGTATGGACTTTCTGATGTTGAGTAAGATGTTTCATCCATGCAAAAGCCTCTCCATATTGAGTAGACTTATAAGGTTTCTCTCTAGCATGGCTTCTCTGATGTTGAAGAAGACTGTTCTTCCATGTATAAGCCTTTCTGTATTGATTACATTCATATGATTTCTCTCCACTGTGTATTCTCTGTTGTCCAATGAGATAGCTCTTCTCTGTAAAAAGCCTTTCTACATTGTTTACAGTCACAATGTTTCTCTTCACTGTGGCTTCTCTCATGCGCAGCAGATTTTTCTCCAACTGAAGCCACAGGGGCCACCATTCATGAATCTTTGCTTGTAATTTTTTTCCAAAGAAACTCTTAGCTCTGTTTCCTTCATTTGTAGTCTGATCTCCCCTCTCCTTCTTAAAAAAAAAATCACAATAAAACAAATACAGACCATACACACACATTATATTCCCTTCCCTCCATCAGCAGAATATAAACTCAGCAATTTTCTATTTCTCCAGGAAAAGAGAAAAATCTTAAATAGGAAGAACTAATGATTTGCAAATGCCATTAGCCAAGGATGACTTAATTTACAAAGAGCTTCATGCACCATTACATTGGATCTTCACAACACACCTGTGACACGGATAGGGCCATCATCTCATCACATCCACAACTCTAGCCATGAGATAAGAATGGCTGAGTGACTTAAGCCAAATTCCAACAGCTGATACTAGAACTCAAACCTTGAGAATGGGCATGCGGTATCCACAGTACTCAATAAATTATCTTCACTTTCAATCTTTCCCTTTCCCTATCTGTAGTTTAAACCCATTCTTCATAGATACAATGCCTTTGGTGGACATAAGCTAAATAAGCATAATGTAATTTTCCTGAAGGTCATTTTCAAACTTATTTTTTTTTTCTGTTCCATTATCTGAGGTCACATTCAGAATACCAACATTGGTTTTTTTTGTATTTACCTCAGGGCATGTGATATTCTTTTGACCATTAATTTTTTAAGAAAGCCATTACTTATTTCTTTTAAAAATATATATCTTTAAGTGTCTCTGGTCACTAAAATAAAATTAAAATCATTCTAAAAAAGAGTTTTAAAAAAATGCATGGATTGCCCATGTCTGAAAATGTGTCTGATACAGGAATTTGAGTTGACACTTTTGTACAGAAGTGGCCAATGTACTTCACTATTGATCCTCAAGGTTCACAAACCCCTTCAAGGATTGTGTCAATGGTCCATGGGATTTGAGCTAAAAATGTCAGGGCCACCTCAAGTGGTAAACAGTTGTCCAATTTAGTTTACAAAGATATTTATTTTCTGGAGCATCAAGTATGTACATGTTTCAACTTTGACAGTAGTCTTTCTGCAGTGATTCCAAACTGTAATGATCAGGAATACACTTCTTTGGGAGACTGTTGAGTGAGCACCTCAAACTCTGATTGCTTCTAACTATGTGCAACATATTCTTTCAGTTTCTCAACTTGACATCAAATTGTTTCCAAACTTGCAGGAAGGTTGGACATTCATGTGCACATGGTCACAGGAATGCAAAGACCTTCAGTGCCTATCGCTGCACCTGAGTACTTCTCATTCATGTGTTACCTTGTAATCACATCTCATCAAGTCTGAAATCACCTGTTCAAGATCTTACTTAGGTTTGCATTCTTACAGCAGTGGTGGCAGGCTATTTGAAAACCGTTATCACCAGCCATGCACAGTAGAGGTCATCACAAAATCATCATGGACCACCACAATCTTTCTACAAAAACAGACCACTCAAATGCTAAGGTTGTTTTCTAATTTGAGATTCTCCCTTGATTATATTACTCTTCTTCTTTCTTGCTGCTTCTTAAAGGAATTGGTTGGTAAGGTGAGTTAGACTATTCATTAGTAATTCAGTAGAGTTTCAGTGAAAGTATAGCCAATTTACCAGTGGTAGAGAAAACCAAGTTATGTCTGAAAAAATTCTATCCTTTCAAAGATTGTTTTGTATATAAATAATAAAAAAAAATCAATATTTACAACTGAAGCTGAAATACAATTGTCATCTAATGCAGTACTTCTGAGTCAATAGAAAAAAAATCTTTGTAATAGTAATTAACAATTCATTTTGACTAGTTAGGGAGTTAAAAAAAAAGAGAATTTCCATCTCTCAGCAGGAGCTTGTCGAATTCTCCTTCCATTTTCCACCTCATCCATGAGTGAACATTTTCACCCTATTCTCTTTAAAAATCAGAATACAACTGGTGGTGCAGTAGATAGAATGCTGGGCCTCAAATCACAAAGACCTGAGTTCCAAGCCAACATCATAAATTTGTTAGTCCTATGACCCTCTCCAATGTGTATTCTCTAATGTAGAGTAAGTGTGGTCCATCCATGTAAAAGCTTTTCCACATTGGTTACTTTTGTAAGGTTTCTCTGCAGTATGGATTCTCTGATGAAGAGTAAGACTAGAACACCATTTATAAGCCTTTCCACATTGATCAATTTCCTAAGGTTTCTCTCCAGTGTGGATTCTCTGATGCTGAGTAAGAGCTCTACTTGTCCTAAAAGCCTTTCCACATTGATTACAGTCATAAGGTTTCTCTCCAGTGTGCATTCTCTGGTGTAGAATAAGACTGGTATACCATTTAAAAGCCTTTCCACATTGATTGCATTCATAAGGTGTCTCTCCAGTGTGGATTCTCTGATGTACAGTAAGTGTGGTACACCACTTAAAAGCCTTTCCACATTGATTGCATTCATAAGGTTTCTCTCCAGTGTGGATTCTCTGATGTTGAACAAGACCATCCTTCCACGTAAAAGCCTTTCCACATTGATTACATTCATAAGGTTTCTCTCCAGTGTGGATTCTTTGATGTTCACCAATACTCTTCCTACATCTGAAAGTCTTTCCACATTGATTGCATTTATAAGGTTTCTCTCCAGTGTGGATTCTCTGGTGTTGAACAAGACTGTCCTTCCATGTATAAGTCTTTCCACATTGATTACATTTATAAGGTTTCTCTCCATTGTGCATTCTCTGATGTTGAATAAGACTGTCCTTCCGTCTATAAGTCTTTCCACATTGATTACATTCATACAGGTTCTCTCCAGTGTGGATTCTCTGATGTAGAGTAAGACTGTTCCACCATTTATAAGCCTTTCCACATTGATTGCATTTATAAGGTTTCTCTCCAGTGTGGATTCTCTGATGTAAATGAATGCTCTTCCTACATCTGAAAGTCTTTCCACATTGATTACATTTATAAGGCTTCTCTCCAGTGTGGATTTTTTGATGTTGAACAAGACTGGCCTTATGTGTATAAGTCTTTCCACATTGATTACATTCATAAAGTTTCTCTCCAGTGTGGATGCTCTGATGTAGAGTAAGACTGTTCCACCATTTAAAAGCCTTTCCACATTGATTACATTTGTAAGGTTTCTCTCCAGAGTGGGTTCTCTGATGTACAACAAGCTGAGCCTTCTTTTTAAAAGTCTTTCCACACTGATTACAGTCATAAGGTTTCTCTCCAGTATGGATACTCTGATGTAGAGTAAGAGCTCTACTTTCCCTAAAAGCCTTTCCACATTGATTACAGTTATAAGGTTTCTCTCCAGTGTGCATTCTCTGATGTAGAGTAAGGCTGGTATACCATTTAAAAGCCTTTCCACATTGATTACACTCATAAGGTGTTTCTCCAGTGTGCATTCTTTGATGTACAGTAAGATTGGTAGACCACTTAAAAGCCTTTCCACATTGATTACATTCATAAGGTTTCTCTCCAGTGTGGATTCTCTGATGTTGAACCAGACTGTCCTTCCATGTAAAAGTCTTTCCACATTGCTTACATTCATAAGGTTTCTCTCCAGTGTGGGTTCTCTGATGTACAATAAGACCTCTGCTTTCCCTAAAAGCCTTTCCACATTGTTTACATTCATAAGGTTTCTGTCCATTGTGGGTTCTCTGATGCTGAACAAGAGTGCCCTTGCATGTAAAAGTCTTTCCACATTGATTACATTCATACTGTTTATCTCCAGTGTGGATTCTCTGATGCAAAATAAAACCAGACTTCCTTGTAAAAGCCTTTCCACATTGATTACATTTATAAGGTTTCTCTCCAGTGTGGATTCTCTGATGTCGAGTAAGAACACTCCTGTCTCTAAAAACCTTTCCACATTGATTACAGTCATAACGTTTCTCTCCTCTATGGATTCTCTGATGTTGAACAAGACCACCCTTCCATGTAAAAGTCTTTCCACATTGGTTACATTCATAAGATTTCTCTCTCGTGTGGATTCTCTCAAGTGTAGCACAGATTTCTCTGCAATTGATGTGAACAGGACCATCATTCATGAATCTTTGCTTTTGAGTTTCTTCCACAGAAACTCTTAGCTCTACAGTAGTTTCCTTCTTTTCAAGACTGCTCTCTCCTTCTGAAAAAAAGAACCCAACAATAAAACAAATACAGAAACTATCCACATGCATAAATCTATTTATATTACCTTCATTTCATTTGCAGAACATAAACTCATTTACTTTTTTATTTCCTCATTCAAAGAGAACAATCTAAAAAGGGCTGAACTAATAATTTAAAATGCCCTTAGCTCATATCCCAAAGATGATTTAATTTACAAAGAGCTTCACCCATAGTCACAATGGATCTTCACAACAAACCTGTGACCCAGGCAAGGCCATTATTCTCATCACTTTCACCACTCAGACTATGAGCTCAGAATGTCTGAGGGACTTCACCAAAATCCCAACAGGTAAGACTAGAATTCAAATATCATCAATGACCACGCTCTTTGCACAGTATTTGATTAATTATCTCCACTTTAATCTTTCCCTTTCCCTTTCATTGCCTGCACTTTCAATCCTTTCTTCATAGACACAATGTCATTTGGTGCACATATACTAAATATTCAAATTATTTCATGATCTATCCTACCTGTAAGCCAAATATAATTTCCCTGGTGATCAATTTCAATCTTATTTTTTCTCTCGCATTATCTGATGTCACATGTAGAATGCCAACTTTTTTTTTTATTTGCCTGAGGCATAAGAGATTTTGCTCTGACCCATTAATTTCTTTTTGGTGAGGAAATTGGGGTAAAGTGACTTGCCTAGGGTCACACAGCTAATGTGAACTGTCTGAGGCTGGACTTGAACCTATGACCCATTGATTTTTTTAGATAGCCATTACTTATTTCTTTTAAAAAAATCATTAAATTTATCTGCTCAATAAAATAAAATTAAAATCCTTCTAAAATACCCAATTAAAAGAATGCATGGCATTGCCCATATCTGAAAATATGGGTCTGATATAGGAATTTTAGTTCATCATCTTTTTCTACAAAAATGGACAGAGTGCTTCAATACTGGACCTCTTGCACTTCTTCCCCCTTCAAGGTTCACAAACCCCTTCAAGGACTGTGTCAACGATTCAAGAGATTTGAGCTAAAAATTCGTCAGTGGCACCTTAAGTGGTAAATAATTGTCCAGTTTGGTTACAAAGATATTTATCTTCTGAAACATCAAGTATGTGAATGTTTCAACCTTAACAGCAGTCTTTCTGCACTGATTCCAAAATACAATGATCTGGACTACACTGCTTTTGGGAATTGTGCAGCAAGTAACTCAAACTCCGACTGCTTCTGACTATATGCAACATATTCTTACAGTTTCTCAACCTGACATCAAATTGTTTCCAAACTTCCAGAAAGGTTGGACATTCATGTGTCACAGGAATACAGAGAATATCATGGCTATCACTGCACCAGAGTAGTTCTCTCATTCTTGGTCTACCTTGTAATTGCCAGATCCAGACCTTACTTGGGTTTGCATTCTTACAACAGTGATGGCAGGCTATTTGAAAATCATGATCACTAGGCATGCAAGGTAAAGGTCATCATGAAACCATTATGGACCACCATAACCTTTCTATAAAAACAGACCATGGAAACAGTAAGGTTGTTTTCTAATTTGAAATTCTCCTTTGTTTATGTTACTTTTTCCATCCAAACTTTTCAAAGGACTTGGTTGACAATGTGGGTTAGTTATTCAGTAGAGTTTCACTGAATGTATAGCTAGTTTATCAGTAGTAGAAAAAACAAAGTTATGTCTAAACAAATTCTATCCTTTCAAAGATTGTTTTGTATATAATTATTAGTAATAAAACCCCCCCTAAATCAATATTTGCAATTGACCTTCAAGTACATCTGTTATTTAATGCTATGTTGAGCCAATAGAAAAAGAAATCTTTGTAATAGTAATTAGTAGTTCGCTTTGACTTAATGTTAGAGAGTTTAAAAAAAATTAATTTCCATCCTTTACCAGAAGCTTGTCAAATTCTCCTTCCATTTTTCACCTCATCCATGAGTGAGCATTTTCACCCTATTCTCTTTAAAAATCAGAATACAAGTGGTGGTGCAGTGGATAGAATGCTGGGCCTCAAATCAGGAAGACTTGTGTTCTGACCCCACTTCACAAACTTGCTAGCTCTATGACATTAGGTTAATCACACGAATTCTGTCTCAATTTTTTTTTAATCTGCGAAATGAGGATAAGAAGAGCACCTAACTGTTAGGGTTCTCATGAGAATAAAATGAGACAATATTTATGCAGTGCATGACACATGCATAGTAGGTACTGTCTAAACTCTAGCTATTACTTTTATTTGATTTTGACTATTTCCTCCCATTTTCTGCTCTCCTTTAAAAAATATTTAATATTTTATTTTTCCCCAGTTACATTTAAAAAACATTTTTAACATCATTTTCAAAACTTTGAGTTCCAAATTCTCTCCTTTCTTCCCTTTCCATGCACCATCATTGAGAAGGCAAGGAATTCGATATAGATTATACATGTGTAGTCATGCAAAACATTTCCATAATAGTCATGTTGTAAAATGAAACATAGAACAAGAAAAAAAAACTCATGAAAAATAAAGTTTAAAAAAGTATGCTTCACTCTGTACTCACACACCATCAGTTCTTTCTCTGGGGATAGATAGCATTTTTCACCATAAATAAGTCTTTTTCAGAGTTGTTGTGGATCATTGTATTTCTGAGAATAGCTAAGTCATTCATCTTACAATATTGCTGTTACTTTGTACACAGTACATTTCGTTTTGCATCAGCCCATGCAAGTCTTTCCAGGTTTTTCAGAGAGCATCCAGCTCATTATGACAATAGTATTCCAGCATAATCACATATTACAACTCGTTCAGCCATTCCTCAATTGATGGGCATTACCTCAATTTCTACTTCTTTGCCCTCAGAAAAGAGCTGCTATAAATGTTTTTGTACATATGGGTCTTCCTTTTATTATTTTTTTAATCTTGTTTGGAATACAGAGCTAGTAGTGGTATTGATAGGTCAATGGGTATGTATGCTTTTATAGGCCTTTGGACATAGTTCCAAATGGCTGTACAGAATGGTTGAATCAGTTCAGAACTACACCAACAGTACATTAATGTCTCATTTTCCCCATGTCCCTTCCAACAATTATCATTTCCCTTTCCTATCCTATTAGCCAATCTAATAGTCATGAGGTAGTATCTCAAAATTGTTTAAATTTACATTTCTTGAATCAATAATGACTTAGATTATTTTTTATATGACGATAGAAAGCTTTGATTACTTCATCTGAAAACTGATCATATCTTCTGATCATTTATCAATTGGGGAATGACTCTAATTTTTATAAATTTGCCTCAGTTCTGTATGATGCCTTTATCAGAGAAACTTTCTTCAAAATTTTTCCACTTACTGTTGCTAACTGTCTTTCCCTCCATCCTATTTCCTTCCACCTGTTTATTCTTTTCTCTCTCTCCTTTCACCCTGTTACTCCACAAAAGTGTTTGCTTCTGACTACTTTGTCCCCCAATCTGCCCTGTCTTCTATAACCCCTACCCCTTCTCATATCCCCTTCTCCTCCAACTTTCCTGTGGGGTAAGAGATTTCTAAGCCCAATTGCAGCTGTATGTTATTCCTACTTTGAACCAATTCTGATGAGAATAAGGTTCACTCACTTCCCCTCACTTACCTCTTCTTCCTCTCACTGTAAAAGCTCTTTCTAGCCTTTTATGTGACATAATTTGCCCTACTCTCCCCTCTCCTTTTCTCCCAGTACATTCTCCCTGACCTCTTAATTTTACTTTTTAGATATCATCCCTTCATATTCAACTCACACCTGTGCCCTCTGTCTATATAGACTTCTTCTCATTACCCTGACAATGTGAAAGGTCTTATAAGTTACAGATATCATTTTCCCATGTAGGAATAGAAATAGTTTAAACCTATGAAGTCTCTTATCATTTCTCTTTACTTATTACCTTTTTATGCTTCTCTTGAGTCTTGCATTTGAAAGTCAGATTTTCTATTCAGCTCTGGTCTTTTCATCAGAAATGCTTGAAACGCTTCTCTTATCTCATTATATATCCATTTTGTTTTTCTTGGTAGGTGATTCTAGGTTGTACTTCTAGCTCCTTTGTCCTTTGGAATATCACATTCCAAACTGTCTGATCCTTTAAGGCAAAAGCTACTGAATCTTGTGTGATCCTGACTTTGGCTCCATAATACTTCGATTCTTTCTGATAACCCAATAATTTTTAAATTATATCACTTGTGAAGAAATTAAAGCCATCTATAGGCATATGAAAAAATGCTCTAAATCATTATTGATTACAGCAATGCAAACCAAAACAACTCTGAGGTACCACATCACACCTATCAGATTGGCCAACATGACAAAACAGGAAAATGATAAATGTTGGAGAAGATGCGGGAAAATTGGAACACTCGTGCATTGTTGGTGGAGTTGTGAAATGATCCAACCATTTTGGAGAGCAATTTGGAATTATGACCAAAGGGCTATAAAAATGTGCCTACCCTTTGACCCAGCAATAGCACTTCTAGGGCTATACCCCAAAGAGATCACAGAAGTGGGAAAGAAACCCACATGTACAAAAATATTCATAGCAGCTCTTTTTGTGGTGGCAAAGAATTGGAAATTGAGAGGATGCGCGTCAATTGGGGAATGGCTGAGCAAGTTGTGGTAAATGAATGTAATGGAACACACATTACAGCACACATGTGCTATAAGAAATGATGAAGGGGGCGGCTAGGTGGCACAGTGAATAGAGCACCAGCCTTGAAGTCAGGAGGACCTGAGTTCACATCTGGCCTCAGACCAAACACTTGACAGTTACTAGCTGTGTGACCCTGGGCAAGTCACTTAACCCCAATTGCCTAAAAACAAAAACAAAACAAAACAAAACAAAAAAAAGAAATGATGAACAGGCTGACTTCAGAAAAACCTGGAAAGACTTGAATGGTCTGATGCTGAGTGAAATGAGCAGAACCAAGAGAACATTGTACACAATAACAACCACATTGAGTGACGAATATTGATAAACTTAACCCTTCCCAGCAATACAAGGATCTAAGACATCTGCAGAGGCCTCGTGATGGAAAATGCTATCCACATCCAAAGAAAGAACAATGAAAGTTCAATGGCTAATTTTTTTCTCTTCTGTTGAATTTTATTTCCTCTTTCTGATGGTTACTCCTTTTCGTTTTAATTACTTACAACACCATTAATGTGAAAATATGTTTCATAAGAATGTCAATGTATAGCCTATATCAGATGGTGTGCCATCTTGGGGAGGGTGTTGGGGAGGAAGGGGGAGAAACATTTTAAACTCAAAAACATATGGAAGTGAGTATTGATAAATCAAAATAAATTAATAACATTTTAAAAAAAGAGAAAAAAATAAATTATATCACTTGGATCTATTTTCCAAGTCAGTTGTTTTTCCAATGAGATATTTCATAGTTCTCTATTTTTTCTTGCTTTTGGTTTTCTTTTGTTGTTTCTTGATTTCTCATGAGGTCATTAGTTTCCATTTACTCCATTCTAATTTTTAAGGAATTGTTTTCTTCAATGAGCTTTTGGACCTCCTTTTCCACTTGGCCAATTCTGCTTTTTAAGGCATTCTTTTCCTCACTGGCTTCCACCTTTTGGCCTAGTCTGTTTTTTAAGGTGTTATTTTCTTTAGTATTTTATTGTGTCTCCTCCACCAAGCTGTTGACTCCTTTTTCATGATTTTTTTTGTATCACTCTTAATTTTCTTCCCAATTTTTCCTCTATCTCTCTTACTTGATTTTCAAAACCCTTTTTGAGCTCTTCCATGGCCTGAGACTAATTCATATTTTTCTTGGAACTTTGACTTTGTCATTCTCTTCTGCATGTGTGTTTTGATTTTCCTTGTCATCATAGAGTTTTTTTCATTGTTTGCTCATTTTCCTACCTATTACTTGACTTTTAAGTGTTTGTTAAAGTAGACCTGTGCTTCCAGGGTGGAAGGGTCACACTAATGACCCTTTCCCTATTAGCACAAATAAAATCATTTCCCTCTAACCCTTAAAACACTCTCACATGATCCATGCATCCCCAGGAAATGGTGTCCAATATCTTTTCCCCCATTTTATGGGTAAACAGCTAGAGATGGCCATTTTCAATTGGTATCTCCAACTCCTTTCCCTCGCTTTCTTTGTAACTCTCCATTTTCTTTTTCCCCCTTTCTTCCCCCCCCACCAATCCCCACAAAAGATATAGCCACCATTAGACACAAATTAGTATATCTATGTAAAATCATTCTACACATATTCCTATTTATCAGTTCTTTCTCAGTATGCAGATAGCATTTTTCTTCATTTGTCCTTCATAGTTAATTTGGGTATTTATAATAGTCCAAAGGAAAAAAAAAGAAAAAAGAAACTCTCTGCATGCTAGCTCCCAATTTCATTGCTCAACTGAAACCTATATCTCAGAAATTATCAATAATCTCAAAACTGCTAAAATTAAATGGCTGTCTCTTAATCCTAATCCTTTATGACTCCTCTGTAGGCTTTGACACTGTCAATGTCCCCTTTTCTTGACACTCCACTGTCTAGATTTTAGTGACATTACGCTCTCCTGGTTGTACTTCTGCTAAATCCAAAAGAAAATGGATTCTTTTTCCTCCAACCCTCTGATCTTCTTATATTCCTAATGTTATCCAAAGCATCCTCTGAATAGTCCAGGCTCAGAAACGAAATGATCTGCACTCCTCATCAACACATTCACACTCCTGACCTCCATGTTCAATCTGTTGCAAAGTCCTGTTATTTCTACCTTTCTGACATCTTTCACATATACCCCTTAGTCTCTCAATATTGTTACTTTCTTGGTTCAGACCCCAGTCACCACACAACCTGAGGTAGTTTGAGAGTCTGCTTTTTGGTCTAGCTGATTCAATTCTCCCCCCAGCCCAGTCCTTCCTCCACCCAGTTATCAAATTCTCCTCTGACCACATTACTATGTACTCCCCTCCAGTGGCATTCCAGAAAAAGTATTAACTATAAAACCCTCTCTAGGACTGTTAAAAGACTTCATCACCTACCCCTCACCTCCTCTTCCAGTCTTCTTTGACCCTATTCCCCACCCCCTCTTGATATATGTTATAATCCATGGTTTGGGCTTCCCTTCTGTTCCAGTAATAAGACCTTACACCTGTGGGTTTTCCTTGCCATCTCTGTTGCTGAGAATGCTCTCCATGGCTTCCTTGAATTCTCAGCTACAGCCCACCTCTCACAATAAGGCTTTCCCAGTCCTCCTTAAATTTAGGGCCTTCCCTTTCTTGACTAGTTCCAACTTATCCTGTCCACGGTGGGTTTCTGCATAATATTCTCTACCCCACCAGACTGTGAGCTCCATGGGAGCAGGGAAGTCCCTTGCATCTATTTATGTGCTGGGTCCTTTAGACATGGTCTGGAACAGAGTAGGCACTAAGATGTTTGTTGACTTGAAGAAAGTCTAGGAAAAAATTCCTATAGGATACCCTAACCCCTTTTTGCACTTTCAGGAGAATTCCATGCCCCAAATTCCAAACAATGACATCTTTTCAGATCATAAAATGATCCCTGGAAGGAGGCTGAAAGGCCATGGCATTCAACCCCCTCATTTTACATATGGAGAAACTGAGGGTCAGTGGTTCTGTGACTGATCCAAGAAGCCACTACTGAGAAATATCTGAAAAAGAATTCCAAGTCAAGTCTTCCTGCCCACAAATGAATCAGTCATTTCACTCTAACACATAGGAGCCACTTGTAATCACAACTTTCATCTCACTCACCTGGATGGCACCTCCTCAGGCCTTCTTGCTCCAGCATCCATGGTGCTTCCCTTTGTTCAAAATAGGAGACCACATCTTCCCTGGGAACTGGAAGCCCTGGGCATGGGGAGTCAGTTAGGAATGAGCATTTAAAGAAACTTGTAGTTTACTTCTCTTTAGGGAAAGGCATTCAAACCCTGAGCTACTCCATTTTGAGATTCACTCCATTATGTCCACACACGGGTCTGTACTCACTCTTTAGTGCTTGCAATGCAAGTAACCTAAAATAGGATGTGCCACATTATCCTGTTGTACAACCTATTCTGAGAAAGAGCCAAACCTCTGCCCGCCATCCTGTCCAGTTCCATTCAGGTAAAAATTCCTAATTCAAAAATGGACTAATATGGGCTAAAATTAAAAATAAATTAAAAAAAGGGTTATTGTGCAAGACCAACCTCAAGCCCCAGAAAAGGGGACGTTGATGACTCAGCTTTTGCACTGTCCTCCTCCCCTGCTCCTCATTCCCTGGCACCTGTAGAAACCTTGTGTACTGTTTATCTTGGGTGTCTTTGACTCCTCAGGTAAGATTCTCTTGCTGGCAAATTCAAGAAATCCTAGTTGGTCCAAATTCTATTTCTTAGCCAGTCTGTTATTCCTGGGAATGCCAGGGGCATGCAAGCAAAGGTCCCAAGGGTGGTTCCCAGGACTCCTAAACTACAGTCTCATAGCATTTATTTTCTGAGCTTTGGGGAGAGGTGGAGAGAAGATCATGGAACCACATTGGAATCTGAAAATTTGGTCTTGGTTCAACTTCATAGACAAATGAACTCACTGCACACTTTCCATTCTGTAGAAATTAGAGGCAGCTGATGGTGCAGTGGAGAGAGCCCTGGGTCTAGAGTGAGGCATGCCAGAGTCTAAATTCACTAGCTGCATGTCCCTGGAAAAGTCCCTTAACCTCCATTTACCTCAGTTTCTTCAACTGTCAAAAATGGATAATGCTATCACCTAATTTGAAAGGTTGTCATGAGGATAAAGTGACATAATATTGTAAAGAAAGCCCTTGGCCCAGCACCTGCCAAATAGTAGGTGAATATAAATGCTTGTTCTCTTCCCTTCCTTTCCATCATCTCTGCTGGAATTGGAGGGCAATAGGAAGGGAGATTAAGGACAGACTTCCTATATGAAGGACAAGTAGAAGCCATGAGCTACA